ACGTACAAAGTAATCTATTAATAGCCTAACGCATACGTACAAAGAAGTCAAGATGTTTATTATATATATACTAGATTAATAATTAAGGTTTTAACTTTTATGCAGTTTTTACTTTCATATGCTTTATAATAAAAAAGTAGAAGCTTGCATGTGTTATCATGGTGATAAGATGTATACAAAACAGTCTTTAACATTAACTATATTATTTTATCACTATAGTAAAAAACGATATACAAAATAGTCTAATTTCAACAAAAAATGCTTTCGACAAATGTTTTCAACATCTATTTACTATTACAAAAAACCAAATTAGCGTTGACTCATCTCCATTGACCCTTTTCGTTTAACAATTTCAATCCCTTGTATTCATTTATCAACGTTCCTACCTACCTTCAAGGAATCAAAGCTGAAATCAAAAATGTCCATAGGAAGGAGATTGACTCATCACCACATAGAACCGACCAAGAGCAAACATATTTTGATCTATGGTCAAGGTGACATGCGGCAACGTCAAGTCTTGTGGACGGTTAATGCAAAAGAGTTCTGTAAAGGGATTTCACTTCGGTTTGAGTACTGGGAAGAAATGAGATATTGTTGCTGGATTGCTCAGGTTGATTTTCTGGATCTGGTTGTAGAAAGTGGGAAATGGCGTAATGATTGATTCTATGATCCATGATTTCAAAAAATTAAATTAAGTGTAGACAATTTTTTTTTTGTTAATGAACAAAAAATTTTATTTATTTTATTGAACAAAAAAATCTAACCACTAAATTTAAATTGAAAATTAATTTCACAACAAAAACTATCAGATCCTTCATTGTTAAAAATTCATTCAAGGTTTTACATTCCTTTTAAACCTTTTTGATTTAAGGAATTTAATCTCCTATACTCACTCATGACATTGACGTCCACTTTCAAGCAGTCAAAGTCGAAGGACAGTATATACACCGAGTTCCAGGAAGGGGCCCTGCTCATCGCCATATAGATCTGACCGGCAGCAAACATATTTTCGTCAATGGTCAAAGTCGAGTGCAGTAATGTGAGGCCCTGAGTCTTGTGAACAGTAAGCGCAAACGCGTTCTGGATGGGAAACTGGCACCTCGATGCCGGGATACCATTAATATTGAAGTATGAAGTGGTCCTCTGGACATTAATCTTTTTTTCAGCAAAAAAGAAAGTCAAAGATAAAGAAAAGATAAGCCAAAGTGTTATTGTGTTATTTTTATTTATCGTTTTATCAAAGAATTTTCTTCGATCAAACAGTTTATATATCAATCAAAAAAATAACTAACTCGCTTAAAGGGAAGAAGGATCACAATCAAAAAATCACAATTGAAAAAAATGACTAATTCGCAAACGGAACAAAAACTTTGCAATGGCACATTCATTCATTGACCAAATGTGATTTTTATTACACGACGACCGTATTTACTTGATCATGCGCTTTAGTACTAGTGTAATTTTTGTTTGTTGTATATATATAGATAGTGATGGGCATAAAAATTATCTTTAAAATGATCAAGTTATTAAGTAGTTAATAACTCTATTAGTGACTTATTAAGTGTTAAAAAACACAAAACTGAAGAACTTTTATGGGCAATAAATTTTTTTACAAAATAATAATAGGGCTTCCAAATTAGAAAAGACTTGGTCTGTATATAGGTTTTCCTTGAGTTAATAACTCTTGCTCAGAATGAGATAGTTAATAAGTGGTTAATAACTAATTAATAACTTGGAATTATTAAGTGTATGGTTAAAAATTCCCATCACTATATATAGATAGACTACTTTGTTTGCTACATAAACAAACAATTTATTTTTTATTTTTTATTATTATTTTTTTTTTATTATTGTACGTTATTTTTAGTTATTTATTATCAGTGATTGATTATTTTTGGAGTTAGTTGATCAAAGGTTAAACCGCAGCAAACAAAAGAAAGAAACCTCTCTGATAGATGGATGTGGTAGATAAAAAAAAATAACAAAAAGGTAAGGAAGGAAAGATCAATTTTTTAACATCAGATGAACGAATAGTGAAAATAATTAGTATTAGTATTAATAAATAATATATAAATTAAAATAAATAAATAAAAAAATAAATAATATTAATAATAACGATATGTGTAACGTCAATCATTTCAAAGAGTAAAAAAAAAAAAATTTAACTAAATCATAAGAAACGTCTCATTTTTTTCATCTCGTGCTTCCAAAAAATTGTGTTTAGTAAAAATTGATTTTTTAATCAGCTCAATGCTCACTCGATCTGTTCGTCCGATCGTTCGTTCGATCGTTCGTTCGCTCATGTATAATGAGCACTCTTCTACAACGTCTTATTTCCCGTACCACTGTTTATTTACAAATATAGGCAAACAACAAATTTATTTATTACAAAAAAAAAAAAAAAAGTATATTGGCCTTGGTATCATTACTACCTGGGTGATGCAATTGTTTGTTATGTCAATGATGATATCAAATGTATTGAATAATAATCATGACCATTGTGAATATTTGATGGATGGAGGCATTCACATACAAGGAAATGATTAAATAGCTAAGTCATGTTTATTTTTTATCTATATAATTAAAAAATTATTATTTATTTCAATGCCATTAATTTCAATAATTCTGAAATTGTTTGTTTCTCAGTGTTAATGATTGAATCAATCACACAAGTGATAGTCAGTTTTTTTAAAAAAGGTTTGGTTGAATTAATGTCATTAAATGTTTTTTTTGATACATCAAACTCAGTCCAAAATCTATCGTATTTTTATATTTTGAAATTTCTTTTTTGATTAAAAAAAAAAAATTTTCAAACATTTGTTTATTTTTTTTTAGTACATTTCAATTAGACTTTATTAGGTCAAATGATACATTCAGCAAAAATCTCAGAAGACTACATTG